TGACTCCAAGGAGGAATACACAACTCCAAGGAGGAATACATGACTCCAAGGAGGAATACATGACTCCAAGGAGGAATACACAACTCCAAGGAGGAATACATGACTCCAAGGAGGAATACATGACTCCAAGGAGGAATACATGACTCCAAGGAGGAATACATGACTCCAAGGAGGAATACACATGTCATCAAAGACCATCAAAAAACAGAACTGAACCGAAAGGTCAGAGATGCTTCACCGAACAATTACTTGACTTAAACAGTCAGGTAGAATAAGACCCTTGACTAGCCATCGGCTTCCTGTCCCCGTCGAGGCCACTAGGGATGGCGCTCCTCGGGTATGAGGAGAGTGGACAAAGGTGGATATGACAGCCTTTAAAAATTTATAAATTAAATATATATATATTAGATCTCGAGTGTAAATTGTAACCTCATGAAATATGTGTGTTTAAGTCTACAATTATGTCTTATGTATGATCCTGTGTGGCAGTGAATATGAGCAGCATCCTCACTGTCCTGTGTGGCAGTGAATATGAGCAGCATCCTCACTGTTCTGTTTGGCAGTGAATATGAGCATCCTCCTCACTGTTCTGTGTGGCAGTGAATATGAGCATCCTCCTCACTGTTCTGTGTGGCAGTGAATGTGAGTAGCATCCTCACTGTCCTGTGTGGCAGTGAATATGAGCAGCATCCTCACTGTTCTGTGTGGCAGTGAATATGAGCAGCATCCTCACTGTTCTGTGTGGCAGTGAATATGAGTAGAATCCTCATTGTTCTGTGTGGCAGTGAATATGAGCAGCATCCTCACTATTCTGTGTGGCAGTGAAAATGAGCAGCATCCTCACTGTTCTGTGTGGCAGTGAATATGAGCAGCATCCTCACTGTTCTGTTTGGCAGTGAATATGAGCAGCATCCTCACTGTTCTGTTTGGCAGTGAATATGAGCAGCATCCTCACTGTTCTGTTTGGCAGTGAATATGAGCATCCTCCTCACTGTTCTGTTTGGCAGTGAATATGAGCAGCATCCTCACTGTCCTGTGTGGCAGTGAATATGAGCAGCATCCTCACTGTCCTGTGTGGCAGTGAATATGAGCAGCATCCTCACTGTTCTGTGTGGCAGTGAATATGAGCAGCATCCTCACTGTCCTGTGTGGCAGTGAATATGAGCAGCATCCTCACTGTTCTGTGTGGCAGTGAAAATGAGCAGCATCCTCACTGTTCTGTGTGGCAGTGAATATGAGCAGCATCCTCACTGTTCTGTGTGGCAGTGAATATGAGCAGCATCCTCACTGTCCTGTGTGGCAGTGAATATGAGCAGCATCCTCACTGTCCTGTGTGGCAGTGAATGTGAGCAGCATCTTCACTGTTTTGTTTGGCAGTGAATATGAGCAGCATCCTCACTGTACGTAAATGTTGGTGAAAAACCTCTCCACCGAGGTTTGACAAAGACCTTTAGTGCTTTCAGCAATCGTTTTTGCGCTACCGCTCACAGGATGAGTATGGGGCGCACAACAAACTACCTCTCGCAGGATGAGTATGGGGTGCACAACAAACAACTGCTCACAGGATTAGTATGGGGATCACCTACTCATAAAATAAAACGTGCCCAACCACTTCTGTCCATCCCTGGAATGGAATCCAGGATCCCCACCTGTGAGTGGAAAACGAAGCCAACTGCGCTACGAGACCCTATATAATGAGGCTACAGAACTCTTCTTCCGAGAATTAGCTACTGGAATTTAACGTCAATGGGTTGACGAGCGCGGAGTGAGTTAACAATAAACTGAATTCCAGGAGACCATTAATGGAGATCATGCTACAGAAACACACACACACACACACACACACACACACACACACACACACACACACACACACACACACACACACACACACACACACACACACACACACACACACACACACACACACACACACACACACACACACACACCCACACACACACAAGGAAGCTTGAAACTCAGATGAGTCACAGAGATGTTAGGAAGTTTTCTTTTAGCGTGAGAGTAGTGGGAAAATGGAATGCACTTCAGGAACAGGTTGTGGAAGCAAATACTATTCATAATTTTAAAACCAGGTATGATAGGGAAATGGGACAGGAGTCATTGCTGTAAACAACCGATGCTCGAAAGGCGGGATCCAAGAGTCAATGCTCGATCCTGCAGACACAACTAGGTGAGTACACACACACACACACACACACACACACACACACACACACACACACACACACACACACACACACACACACACACACACACACACACACACACACACACACACACACGCACACACGCACACACACACACACATACACACACACACACACACACAGTTTTTAGTGTCAGAGTGGTTGACAAATGGAATGCATTAGGAAGCAATGTGGTGGAGGCTGACTCCATACACAGTTTCAAGTGTAGATATGATAGAGCCCAGTAGGCTCAGGAACCTGTACACCTGTTGATTGACGGTTGAGAGGCGGGACCAAAGAGCCAGATCTCAACCCCCGCAAGCACAACTAGGTGAGTACACACACACACACACACACACACACACACAGAGTAAACAAGGATAAACTATTCAACACTGGCGGGACGCGAACAAGGGGACACAGGTGGGAACTGAGTACTCACATGAGCCACAAAGACGTTAGAAAGAACTTTTTCAGTGTCAGAGTAGTTAACGGATGGAATGCATTAGGCAGTGATGTGGTGGAGGCTGACTCCATACACAGTTTCAAATGTAGATATGATAAAGCCCAGTAGGCTCAGGAATCTGTACACCAGTTGATTGACAGTTGAGAGGCGGGACCAAAGAGCCAAAGCTCAACCCCCCGCAAGCACAAATAGGTGAGGACAAATAGGTGAGTACACACACACACACACAAACCTAAGTAAGGAGGAATTTAGGGGGCTTTACACTGCCTACATGAGGCCAGTCTTAGAGTATTAGAGTATGCCGCGACATCATGGAGTCCCCACCTAAAGAAACACATAAGGAAACTGGAAAAGGTTCAGAAGTTTGCAACGAGACTCGTCCCAGCGTTACGAGGGATGGGGTATGAAGAGCGCCTGAATGAACTGAACCTTACGACACTACAAAAAAGAAGGGAGAGGAGGGGATATGATAAGAACGTATAAAATACTCAGGGGGATTGAGAGTGGACATAGACGAAATGTTCACTCGGAATAGTAACAAAATAAGGAGGATAGGTGGAAGCTGGGAACACAGATAAGTCACAGAGATGTTAGGAAGTTTTCTTTTAGCGTGAGAGTAGTGGTGTGAGTGTGTGAGTGTGTGTGTGTGTGAGTGTGTGTGTGTGTGAGTGTGTCTGTACGCGTTTGAAAATCAAGAGTAATGCGCTTTGCCCGTAAAGATGGCACAAGTCCGATATTCTTACTGATATCACAGGAGTTACGACTTTTACGAACGGTTTCTGGTCACGCCATAACTTTGTATTGCATTGTAAAGAGATATTTGAATATCTGTAGCGAGTACTACTGAGTCTAGGGCGAGTACTAGTGAGTCTGTAGCGAGTACTAGTGAGTCTGTAGCGAGTACTAGTGAGTCTATGGCGAGTACTAGTGAGTCTGTAGCGAGTACTAGTGAGTCTGTAGCGAGTACTAGTGAGTCTATGGCGAGTACTAGTGAGTCTAGGGCGAGTACTAGTGAGTCTGTAGCGAGTACTAGTGAGTCTGTAGCGAGTACTAGTGAGTCTAGGGCGAGTACTAGTGAGTCTGTAGCGAGTACTAGTGAGTCTGTAGCGAGTACTAGTGAGTCTGTAGCGAGTACTAGTGAGTCTGTAGCGAGTACTAGTGAGTCTAGGGCGAGTAATAGTGAGTCTGTAGCGAGTACTAGTGAGTCTAGGGCGAATACTAGTGAGTCTAGGGCGAGTACTAGTGAGTCTACAGATTGTGACCCGTGTTCTGACCTGGGAGTTCTACACCAAGTCACTCTATAAAGAACTCAACGAAATAACGATAAAGCTTATGACTTAAGAACGAGAAAGTTGATATCCAAGATTGACCTCGTGACCTGCCGACTGTGACGAGCCGGAGGACTAGAGCTGAAGTCCTTGCACTGTATATCCATAGTTCCAGACGTTCCGTGACGTTACATAGTGTTACTCAAAGTCTGAGTTTACTTGGTCACTCATCATCTCAGTTTACTCAGGAGCTTTCCATTGTTGATTTTCAATTCATTTCAGGATTTCGGTGACTATATGACAATAATACAATAATGTTTTCATATTATAAATAATAAAGCTAGTTGGAGATTTGTGTAATCAATAATTTATTAAATATGTAAATAGTTTGTGTATATACGTGTAATGCTTAATTTGTAAAAGTTTCCATATGTGTATGACATCAAGTTCTGCTGATGGAAAGAGATCGACTTGATTCTCAGTTTATATACATTAAAAGTTTACTTTCAGTGTATACTAAACTATACAGTGTAGATTAAAGTATACATGCTGGATGGTCAGTAAGCTCTTATTGTTGCTTTAATAACTCTCATATATTTGATAGGTTATAATAGCCCTCAAGAGGTTGATAGGTCTTAATAACCTTCAAGAGGTTGATAGGTCTTAATAACCCTCAAGACGTTGATAGGTCTTAATAACCTTCAAGAGGTTGATAGGTCTTAATAACCCTCAAGACGTTGATAGGTCTTAATAACCTTCAAGAGGTTGATAGGTCTTAATAACCCTCAAGAGGTTGATAGGTCTTAATAACCTTCAAGAGGTTGATAGGTCTTAATAACCTTGAAGAGGTTGATAGGTCTTAATAACCCTCAAGACGTTGATAGGTCTTAATAACCTTCAAGAGGTTGATAGGTCTTAATAACCCTCAAGACGTTGATAGGTCTTAATAGGAGCCTCCCGTCCATGAGCCTGATATAGACCAACAGACTAACGCCCCAAAAAACAAGCCACACTAGGATTTTGATCTTTATTCCTTTTTTTATCCTTTCTTACCAGGTGTCTTGGGCCAGACGGCGGGGAGCAGACTTCCACATCCTTACTGTTGGCTTCCACACCTACCATAATGATAACAGGTATGTGTGTGTGTGTGTGGGGGGGGGGGAAGACTCTGCCGTCCCTGATGTAATGAGGACAGGTGGGAAAGTTTAGACTTCCACATCTACCTAATGACAGCAGGTGACTGGCATTGACTTTACACCTGTCTTAATGACAGCAGGTGACTGGCATTGACTTTACACCTGTCTTAATGACAGCAGGTGACTGGCATTGACTTCTACACCTGTCTTAATGACAGCAGGTGACTGGCATTGACTTTACACCTGTCTTAATGACAGCAGGTGACTGGCATTGACTTCCACACCTGTCTTAATGACAGCAGGTGACTGGCATCGACTTTACACCTGTCTTAATGACAGCAGGTGACTGGCATTGACTTCCACACCTGTCTTAATGACAGCAGGTGACTGGCATCGACTTTACACCTGTCTTAATGACAGCAGGTGGCTGGCATTGACTTCTACACCAGTCTTAATGACAGCAGGTGACTGGCATTGACTTCCACACCTGTCTTAATGACAATCGCGGAGTTCTTGGGGATTCGAAAACTTTCTTAGTGGCGACAAGTTAGTGGTGGAGACTTCGCCAACTTTCTTAATTCAAACGAGTGAGTGAGGGAGGGCTTTTATATTAGTATTATTGGCAGTTAATGAGTGTGAGAATACATTCTGATATGATGATAATTAGGTGCATTATCCAGCGGTGCCCGGGGCCACCTCAAAAAAAGGGTTGTAGCAGTAATGTGTTGTAAGTCCACAAGAATACACACGTGTGTCTTCATAACATGCATTTTTACTTCTCATCATCGACATTATCAGGTCCATATGAGGGTGAGAGGGAGGGGGGGCGGAGGGGGGTCTGGGGTCGACCTCGACCCCCCCTCCCCCGTCAAGAGGATTATGGTGGCCGACACTAAAGCCCCAACGACGGTTCAAATACGCTATCCAGTTTCCCCTGCAAGGCTTGGTGAGGCTAGCCCTTAACGTCTGGCCTTCAAACGGACAGACTTCCCTCCCATTTATAAATATAGAGATATGTCTGGGAATCTTATCTAGGCAGTGTATGGAGGCTGGTTCTTTCCCAAAATAGGTGTATTATAATGGACAAGTGATTATATTAACTTTATTGTCAATATTTTAAGGCGTGCCTCTGGCGCCTTAAAACTAGTTGCTCCGGATAGATGTGACCCGTTAGCCTGGGAAGGCAGCCCATCTAAGGGAAGGAAAACCCTGATTTCAAACCTCCGCTGCCTTGCGGTCATACCTCTCTTTTGGGAAAGGCTTCAGGAGTCAACCTCGAGGAAAAATCCGGAGTTGGAGCCCCTAAGGCAGTTCGTCCTTGACTTCGACCTCGTTCTGGCAGCTCCTGCGACGGTGCTGGAACCATGTGTATTGGCATTTGCCTCTCCATTGGATAATTCCAGCAACGTGCAGAGGGAAGACCTGCTGCATGGGTAACAGCTTTTCCTCCACATCTACCTACCCAAGCTTTTGCGCCCTGGAGAGATTGACAACCAGAGCGCAACTCCATAGTCTCAAGAGACTGAAGGATGCCTACTACTGCCTACTATCAATATTGGACTATACTGACTCTGCCCCGGAAATATAATTTCCATCACATTCATTGTCTTCACATGTTTACCGTTTGAAGTGACTGTCACCGGCCACCCACTAGTCATCCTGCAAAGTGTAGTGAGGTTTGCCTACCTGGCTCAAATAAACATAGACACAATCAGACATTCTCTTTATAGATGTAAATATGTTGACCAAACTACACTCTAGAAAGTGAAGGGACGACGACGTTTCGGTCCGTCCTGGAACATTCTCAAGTCGATTGCGCAATCGACAATCGACCCTTCATATATACTGACTATAAGATCCTTCATATATACTGACTATAAGATCCTTCATATATACTGACTATAAGATCCTTCATATATACTGACTATAAGATCCTTCATATATACTGACTATAAGATCCTTCATATATACTGGCTATAAGATCCTTTATATATATATATATATATATATATATATATATATATATATATATATATATATATACTGGCTATAAAATCCTTCATATATACTGACTATAAGATCCTTCATATATATACTGGCTATAAAATCCTTCATATATAGTGACTAAAAGATCCTTCATATATACAGGCCATAAACTCCTTCATATATACTGGCTATACGGTTCATATATGCTGGCTATAAGGAACTACATATATACTAGCTATAAAGATCGGCAAAATTATTCATAATACACATGGCTGAGTGTGTATACTGACCAAGCAGGCACTACAAACACGCTGCCTTGAAAAATAGTAATGATTGAAGAGGCACATTTCCCGGTAACTTTAAAAATAAAGCACTTTTAAAGGATTATAAATAAAGCACATCAAAGGTCACGCAAAAATATGCTTTTTTTGGAGGGGTTAAATTCTCCTTCTAGGATTAATGACCAGCTTAATTTAAAGGATACGTTTTGCAATTATACCCCGGACATACCCCCGATTATACTCCAGTATAACGAATCCTTAGTAAATGCTTAAGTATTGAGTTATTCTGCTAAGTAAATGAAGGCAAATTATATGCTAGTATGTCAAAGTTGCGTGTGAGGTTAGTGATAGGATATAATCAACTGAGGTATGCTCGTACGCTTTCTTGTCCTAGTTATAGACATCGTTTCACGTGACATTTACAATTAAAATTTAAAATTTAAATTTAAAATTAAAATTTTAAATTTTAAATTAAAATTTAAAATTAAATTTAAAATTATAATTTTAAATTTAAAATTAAAATTTAAAATTAAATTTAAAATTTAAATTTAAATTTACAATTTAAAAATTATGCTCAAAGTTTTGTTTAAATTACCCTGAAATGATGCAAATTATAAGGTTTCTAACATTGCTGGGGGGGGGGGATGGGTAGCCGCGTGGTTAGGCTTATTTAGGCTCTCCTGGGAGCCTGTTATCCACCATATCGTCGATAATAACATTTCAGACACATCGACTATCAGAGCCTCGAACCGCCAACCGTATAAACAGCGTGCCCGCAGCTCTACCTACTGAGCCACCAGCACTCCTTAATAAGGAAGGATTCCAGAGACTGCTAGTTGTTGTCCAACCGTAACTTTGGGCCCTCACTGGGGTGCCACTTTGGCATGGAGGTGTTAGGTCATTCACGTCCTAATCATATATGTTGGTAACTATCCACGATTAATATATATATATATATATATATATATATATATATATATATATATATATATATATATATATATATATATATATATATGTGTGTGTGTGTGTATCACGAAAATAAACACGTGATTAAAAATGTGACAATGTCAGACCACGGAGGAAAAATGAAACAGGAATTTCCTTAAGTACTTTCGTATATTAATACATCTTCAGAAGGAGTCCTTCTGAAGATGTATTAATATACGAAAGTACTTAAGGAAATTCCTGTTTCATTTTTTCCTCCGTGGTCTGACATTGTCATATATATATATATATATATATATATATATATATATATATATATATATATATATATATATATATATATATATACATATATATATATATTGCTGGAACATGGGATGATTATTCCTGTGCATATCGTATAGATCTTTTATGCTCATTTACCTTGTGATGAGATTTATCCCAGTTTGTTATATGGGTGAAAGTTTTGCAATACCTATGGTAAATGATGGATATTCCAGGCTTATCCTGGTTGACTAGGCTTCCCTGTGTTATTGGAAAGGTTATTGCCAATTTTTCTAGATAATTGAGTTCTAGTTATATGGTAAAAACTCATATTTTCGGATTGTGGGGTATTATTTTTGTTCAGTTTCCCTTGCTTTTGTTATAGTTTTCCATGTTAAATAATATAGATGTCCTTCTGTAAAGAATGTTCATATGTCTCTTTTTTGGTTCTAAATACTATGGCGAGTAGCTACTTGAGGGTAAAAAAATATTGATAATTCTCCTTTTATTTTTTTCTGGTCTAATTAATAAAAAAACAATAATCGAGTTAGTGTGTGCTGAGGTTTCGTAAAAAAAAGGGTACGATCATTAGCTTAATTCATTCCTTACAGAGCTGTGTCAAATTACATTTTATCGTTATTTTAAGAATGTAAATATGTCGTGATCGTATGTGATCGACAGCACATAAACATAGCACTTTGTACTTCACCAGATATAACCTGGGAAATGGTGCTAATCTCAAAATCTGTATATATATATATATATATATATATATATATATATATATATATATATATATATATATATATATATATATATATATATATATATATATTAAAGATGACCGAAAAAGTAAGATTAATAATTCTAACACGAATTTTCTCAATCTTTCGTACATTTCTTTTCACTGTTGGAGGTAAATCAAAAATCAATTCTCCAAAATTCATTTTTATTTCTAGTCTGACGCGACACGAGCACGTTTCGTAAAACTTATTACATTTTCAAAGACTTTAGTTTACAAATACACAACTGAATAGAACTAACGCATCTCCGATTTTATATCTACATTTGAGTGAGGTGGATGGGGTGAGGTGGCATTAATAGGGTATTAATTTCATCAACACAAGACAGAACAAGAGGTGGCATTAATAGGGTATTAATTTCATCAACACAAGACAGAACACGAAACAATGGATATTGAATAGAAGTGTTTGTAGAAAGCCTATTGGTCCATATTTCTTGATGCTTCTATATTGGAGTGGAGTCTTGAGGTGGGTAGAATATAGTTGTGCATTAATTGGCTGTTGATTGCTGGTGTTGACTTCTTGATGTGTACACATCAAGAAGACTTCACGACTTCGAAGTACACGACTTCTTGATACACATCAAGAAGTCAACACCAGCAATCGACAGCCAATTAATGCACAACTATATATATATATATATATATATATATATATATATATATATATATATATATATATATATATATATATAAGGCACAACTCTCCTAAACACGAGAGTGAAGTATAGAACTTTAGAACACTTTCCCACCAGGAGACTCGAACCCTAGCCAGCACAGAAGCCTTCCAGCGTACCTGTTATGCCAGTTGCTGGAAGGCTTCTGTGCTGGCTAGGGTTCGAGTCTCCTGGTGGGAAAGTGTTCTAAAGTTATATATATATATATATATATATATATATATATATATATATATATATATATATATATATATATATATATATATATATATATATATATATATGCGCTGAGAATCCACTAAGAAATAGGAAAGGAAGATGAACGTTTCGGCTGTTTAAAGCCGTTGTCAACACCAGACTGACTAGGAGAAACAAAGGGAGGTTAAAGGTCACCAGCTGGATCTGACCACATATCCCCAGGTAAAGAATTACCCAGAAGCAGGTACAGATTAGCTTAGAATAATAGGATTAAGTGGTCAGAGAATAAGGATGAAAGATTAAAGAAAGCCTCACTGAAATACATATATATGAATATAATATTGAAATGAGACATAGTAGCCCTTTCAAAGTTTTTTCTTAAACTGTTGTGCAATTTTGTAACTTAAACATGGATCAAGTTTGTACATACCAGTACTAACATTAATAAGAGTAGGACACTGATTAAGGCAGACTAGATCAAATTCCGTTCCACTACACCACGGCAATTGGTAATGCTTTTCGCTCCATCCCACTTAATAGTGTGATCACACAAACTCGTGTGTAGAGACAATGCACTAGACATTTTGGCAGTTCTAATATTATAAATATGTTGGGACAACCGCAACTGTAAGGACTTTCATGACGTTCTTCATATGAGTAGGTTGGCCGTTTTTTTGTTTTATAGTAAAAAAAATATATATATATATATATGTGTGTGTATATCACGAAAATAGACACGTGATTAAGAATGTGACAATGTCAGACCACGGAGGAAAAATGAAACAGGAAATTTCCTTAAGTACTTTCGTATATTAAATACATCTTCAGAAGGACCAAACCTTCAGAAGGACCTTCTGAAGATGTATTTAATATACGAAAGTACTTAAGGAAATTTCCTGTTTCATTTTTCCTCCGTGGTCTGACATTGTCATATATATATGTATATGTATATATATATATATATATATATATATATATATATATATATATATATATATATATATATATATATATATATATATATATATATATATATATATATATATTTACACCATTAAATGAAAGACAATGAACGACATGTTGAATATTATTTGACTAATAATCATGACAAATGATGTCGAAGGTATATATCACTTGAACTCTATGACCCCTCAGTGGATTCGAACCCAGGTCACCAGGAATCTTCCCAACAACAATAAGAAGCAATGGTCGGAGTACCAGTGCTGTTGATGGGGAGACACCCCACCTGGCGGCCAGGGGTTCGAATCCCCTGAGGAGTCATAGAGGAAGAGTTATTGTATGGGCGTTGGGGGTCAGTTCAAGCTTTACTTGAGAGTGTTTAATTTGTAGTCGTTATTCCTGTTGGGTTTGTGGAGTGAAATGTGAGTGAATAACAGCATGTAGTGGAGTGGAAGGTGTTGTGGGTGAGTGCCACTGGCTGGCTGGTAATAGTATTGATACACAGGGTTTAAAACGCTTCAGTAATGGATGTATAAGGAAGAGAGAGGGAGGGTGAAAGGGAAAGGGGGATGGACCGGCCTAGCCTGGGTCAAGAGACCTGTTGCGGTCTTTTATTATTCACATGTTGGATAATCATCCAACATGTGAATCATCAGTCATCAGTGAATAGAGTCATCCTCAGGACTATCCTGAGAACTTATTATGTGCCTCATATACACAACTGAGATACAGCCGGGAATATCATCATGTAAATTTTCTAAAGATGCTTAAACTGAGCTGAAAATTCATTTACCCGAAGACCCAGAACCGCTACGGGAAAACTTCCACAGGATTTAAAATGGAATGAAATTGAGCAGATGCAATTCGCTTCAGCACGTCCTCACCACATCGCATTGTGACGTATAAATGAGGTTAAAAACTAATGCAAATTGACGTGAAATCTCTATTCGCTCCTCCTAAGTTTAGGTTAGGTTAGGGCAATTTAGTACATCAGTTTAGTGACGTTGGGGAGGACGGGCGGGCTGATTTACAGCCTAGAGATTACCTAAACAATAATGAAATGGTCTAATGCGATTGGGAACATTATTTGAAACTATGATAAATTAATGTCTGAAGCCAAGATGGAAGTGGAGGAAGATATTAAAACATTGTCAGAGCATTTTACCGTGACTACAGATACATCCTGTATACTGTATCATGTCCACACACACACACACCCTGTATACTGTACCATGCCCACACACACACACCCTGTATACTGTACCATGCCCACACACACACACACCCTGAATACTGTACCATGCCCACACACACACACACCCTGTATACTGTACCATGCCCACACACACACACCCTGTATACTGTATCATGCCCACACACACACACCCTGTATACTGTACCATGCCCACACACACACACCCTGTATACTGTACCATGCCCACACACACACACACCCTGTATACTGTACCATGCCCACACACACACACCCTGTATACTGTATCATGCCCACACACACACACACCCTGTATACTGTACCATGCCCACACACACACACCCTGTATACTGTACCATGCCCACACACACACACCCTGTATACTGTACCATGCCCACACACACACACACCCTGTATACTGTACCATGCCCACACACACACACCCTGTATACTGTACCATGCCCACACACACACACACCCTGTATACTGTACCATGCCCACACACACACACACCCTGTATACTGTACCATGCCCACAGGTACACACTGACCACTGTACCGTGCCCACAGGTACACCCTGACCACTGTACCATGCCCACAGGTACACACTCAGCTACGAGTACCCCAACAACTGGAAACTTCAGATACGTTACACTCAGAAGAGAGACGAGGGCCTTTATGAGTGTCAGATCTCTACACATCCACCACAGATCCTGCGGGTGTACCTCAGTGTCTCAGGTAGGTGTACCCTGGTGTACCTCAGTGTCTCAGGTAGGTGTACCCTAGTGTACCTCAGTGTCTCAGGTAGGTGTACCCTGGTGTACCTCAGTGTCTCAGGTAGGTGTACCCTGGTGTACCTCAGTGTCTCAGGTAGGTGTACCCTGGTGTACCTCAGTGTCTCAGGTAGGTGTACCTCAGTGTCTCAGGTAGGTGTACCCTGGTGTACCTCAGTGTCTCAGGTAGGTGTACCTCAGTGTCTCAGGTACGTGTACCCTGGTGTACCTCAGTGTCTCTGGTAGGTGTACCCTAGTGTACCTCAGTGTCTCAGGTAGGTGTACCCTGGTGTACCTCAGTGTCTCAGGTAGGTGTACCCTGGTGTACCTCAGTGTCTCAGGTAGGTGTACCCTGGTGTACCTCAGTGTCTCTGGTAGGAGTACCCTAGTGTACCTCATTGTCTCAGGTAGGTGTACCCTGGTGTACCTCAGTGTCTCTGGTAGGTGTACCCTAGTGTACCTCAGTGTCTCAGGTAGGTGTTCCCTAGTGTCTCAGGTAGGTGTACCCTGGTGTATCACTGTGTCTCAGGTAGGTGTACCCTGGTGTACCACTGTGTCTCAGGTAGGTGTACCCTGGTGTACCACTGTGTCTCAGGTAGGTGTACCCTGGTGTACCACAGTGTCTCAGGTAGGTGTACCCTGGTGTACCTCAGTGTCTCTGGTAGGTGTACCCTAGTGTACCTCAGTGTCTCAGGTAGGTGTATCCTGGTGCACCTCAGTGTCTCTGGTAGGTGTACCCTAGTGTACCTCAGTGTCTCAGGTAGGTGTACCCTGGTGTACCTCAGTGTCTCTGGTAGGTGTACGCTAGTGTACCTCAGTGTCTCAGGTAGGTGTACCCTGGTGTACCTCAGTGTCTCAGGTAGGTGTACCCTGGTGTACCTCAGTGTCTCTGGTAGGTGTACCCTGGTGTACCTCAGTGTCTCTGGTAGGTGTACCCTGGTGTACCTCAGTGTCTCAGGTAGGTGTACCCTGGTGTACCTCAGTGTCTCAGGTAGGTGAACCCTGGTGTACCTCAGTGTCTCAGGTAGGTGTACCCTGGTGTACCTCAGTGTCTCTGGTAGGTGAACCCTGGTGTACCTCAGTGTCTCTGGTAGGTGTACCCTAGTGTACCTCAGTGTCTCAGGTAGGTGAACCCTGGTGTACCTCAGTGTCTCTGGTAGGTGTACCCTAGTGTACCTCAGTGTCTCTGGTAGGTGAACCCTGGTGTACCTCAGTGTCTCTGGTAGGTGTACCCTAGTGTACCTCAGTGTCTCTGGTAGGTGTACCCTGGTGTACCTCAGTGTCTCAGGTAGGTGTACCCTGGTGTACCTCAGTGTCTCTAGTAGGTGTACCCTGGTGTACCTCAGTGTCTCAGGTAGGTGTACCCTGGTGTACCTCAGTGTCTCAGGTAGGTGTACCCTGGTGTACCTCAGTGTCTCTGGTAGGTGTACCCTGGTGTACCTCAGTGTCTCAGGTAGGTGTACCCTGGTGTACCTCAGTGTCTCTGGTAGGTGTACCCTGGTGTACCTCAGTGTCTCAGGTAGGTGTACCCTAGTGTACCTCAGTGTTTCAGGTAGGTGTACCCTGGTGTACCTCAGTGTCTCTGGTAGGTGTACCCTAGTGTACCTCAGTGTCTCTGGTAGGTGTACCCTGGTGTACCTCAGTGTCTCAGGTAGGTGTACCCTGGTGTACCTCAGTGTCTCTGGTAGGTGTACCCTAGTGTACCTCAGTGTCTCAGGTAGGTGTACCCTGGTTTACCTCAGTGTCTCTGGTAGGTGTACCCTAGTGTACCTCAGTGTCTCAGGTAGGTGTTCCCTAGTGTCTCAGGTAGGTGTACCCTGGTGTACCACTGTGTCTCAGGTAGGTGTACCCTGGTGTACCACTGTGTCTCAGGTAGGTGTACCCTGGTGTACCACTGTGTCTCAGGTAGGTGTACCCTGGTGTACCACAGTGTCTCAGGTAGGTGTACCCTGGTGTACCACAGTGTCTCAGGTAGGTGTACCCTGGTGTACCACAGTATCTCAGGTACGTGTACCCTGGTGTACTACAGTGTCTCAGGTAGGTGTACTCTGGTATACCTCAGTGTCTCAGGTAGGTGTACCCTAGTGTACCACAGTGTCTCAGGTAGGTGTACCTTGGTGTACCTCAGTGTCTCGGGTAGGTGTACCCTGGTGTACCTCAGTGTCTCAGGTAGGTATATCCTGGTGTACCTCAGTGTCTCAGGTAGGTGTACCTTGGTGTACCACAGTGTCTCAGGTAGGTGTACCCTGGTGTACCTCAGTGTCTCAGGTAGGTGTACCTTGGTGTACCTCAGTGTCTCAGGTAGGTGTACCCTAGTGTACCTCAGTGTCTCATGTATACTCAGTGTATACTATATATATAATACACTGCGTCCTAACTTTATTTAAAAGTGATATAAGTACGGTCATTAATATACATAATATAGTTATTATACATATTAATGTTATATATTGTTATAGAATGTTATATAACGTATATTATATTGTTATTAATGTTATGCTTGGAATATATTCTAATAGCAAGAGTCAAATTATATGTTGAAGTGACTATGATAACTAACGTTAGTCCCTGGAGAGGGATATCCTTGAGGTTATCTTGAAATGATTTCGGGGCTTTAGTGTCCCCGTGGCCCGGTCCTCGACCAGGCCTCCACCCCCAGGAAGCAGCCCGTGACAGCTGACTAACACCCAGGTACCTATTATACTGCTAGGTAACAGGGGCATAGGGTGAAAGAAACTCTGCCCATGGTTTCTCGCCGGCGCCCGGGATCGAACCCGGGACCACAGGATCACTAGTCCAGCGTGCTGTCCGCTCGGCCGACCGGCTCCCATAGAGATCCCTAGATAACTGGAAGAACACAATAATGGGCAAAGATTTGTGTACTTGTGTTAGCGCGATATCAAGCTATTTAAGTGCTTGTGTACTTACCTAATTGTACTTACTTAATTGTGCTTGCGGGGGTTGAGCTCTGGCTCTTTGGTCCCGCCTCTCAACTGTCAATCAACTGGTGTACAGATTCCTGAGCCTACTGGGCTCTATCATATCTACATTTGAAACTGTGTATGGCGTCAGCCTCCACCACATCACTGTCTAATGCATTCCATTTGTTAATTACTCTGACACTGAAAAAATTTCTTCTAATATGTCTGTGGCTCATTTGAATACTAAGTTTCCACCTGTGTCCCCTTGTTCGTGTTCCACCCGTGCTGAAGAGTTTGTTTTTGTCCACCCTGTCAATTCACCTGAGAACTTTGTAGGTGGGTATCATGTCTTCCCGTACTTTTCTGTTTTCCAGGGTTGTGAGATTTAGCTCCCTTAGCCTTTCCTCATAGCTCATACCTCTCAGTTCTGGCACTAGTCTGGTAGCATATCTCTGAAGCTTCTCTAACTTTATCTTGTGTTTAACTTGGTATGGACCCCATGTGTGTTTAATAAAAATTATGATGAAAATATGAGTGCAGCAAATAGGTACTAGGAAATTTTGACATACGTCAGGCCTCACTCAGTAATATTACTGTAAAGGTGTGGGAAATTTCTCCCACCTACATAAATTACTACATTAAATTATATATTTCAACAAACAGCAATAAGGATTCGTGCTCTGTTAAACTCAAAAGACTAATTACAGTGTATCAACTAATAAACTAAATAATTATCAGGCCTTTCCTCTATTATTATACATTATTATTTACTTTGCAAATGTAAAGACTTATGAAACGTTTGTAACACCATTTGGCACCATGGGATGATGTAAAATTTACAATAAATGAATAATTATAACTCTCCTAGTTAAATAATCACAGTGGGTATAGCTTCTAATGCCTGACACATAAATTGAGATATATTACAGTATACAATCCAGTGTGAATTTAAATTAAATCGCCTCTCTCCTGAATAGACAAATATTAACTCTCCCATGAATGCGAGGAGGAGGAGGCTGACGCCAGCTAACACGAGGCTGACGCCAGCTAACACGAGACTGACGCCAGCTAACACGAGACTGACGCCAGCTAACACGAGGCTGACGCCAGCTAACACGAGACTGACGCCAGCTAACACGAGGCTGACGCCAGCTAACACGAGACTGACGCCAGCTAACACGAGGCTGACGCCAGCTAACACGAGACTGACGCCAGCTAACACGAGGCTGACGCCAGCTAACACGTGGCTGACACTCAGGAAACTCAACTCACTCTGATAAACATCTGACCAGCCTGACTGTGACTTATTTAGCTGTTCCTTTCTTAGCTGCAGCTCTACGGTCTCATCCTTGATGAGGTAAACAACTTGTTTTTCTCTCCTCTAGCAGAAGTTGGGTTACGAACATGAGAATGGAGAAGGGTTGTGCAGCGCCAGCATGAGGTAAAGCAGCTCACGGAATTAATAGTTGAACCACACATTAACCTAGTAACGTCAGCTACCTCTACAAGAACGCAACGCTATAAACATTAATAAAATACTTTAAAAATCCTCATACTTGTCAACCAATGAACTGTTAGTTACGGAATTAATGAAGTTAAACTATGAAGATTGGCGGAGTTAATCTTAAAACAATAATAAAACATAACACAAAGTGGACATGATCACGATATAAAACATACTTGGAATACTAGCCACCTCGACTAGACTGTGACTGTCACAAGTGAAATCAAAACAGACAGAAAGGCTAAAAAATATCAGTAGACCTTTCTTCAGTGAGAGGGTTGTCTCGGGGGGGGGGGGGGGGGGGGGGGGGGACAAGCTTCGTCGACACACATGAAAACAACAAGACCCAGGAGGGGGGAGGGGGGGGATAGCCTGCATCTTGTCCTTCACTCGAGGGGCTACGAGGCGAGTGCACTCAAGTGTGTACACAAACATTAACTCTCACTCACGTATTTACACTTGATACTCATCAACCATGTCTTGCTCTCTATCATACTCTTTCCTTCTCTCCTTCTCCCACTTTTTTATCACTCATACTTTCTTCCTTCTTCACTCCATCTCTCCTGCCTTCCTCCCTCCTATCTTCCTACCTTTTTCCACCGTTCTTCTCACCCTCATTCCATCCTGCCTTACTTCACCATCAAACCTCTATCCACCTTCCTCCCCCGGCCCAGCTCCCCTGCTCCCAGGGGCCCACCTGGCCGCCACTCTCCCTCTCACACCTCACAACATCCGCCAGTATCATTCACTAATGGACAAATAAATGGCTCTCTGGTTGAGTGATCCCTAGAGTGGGATGCTGTGAATTATCTGCACTTGCATCTTCATGCTGGATGCTGCGACGCCCAGGAGACAAACACTGAGAGCCTGACTCTGATTTTCATAAACACTTGGGTTTTGTTATGATATTACTTGAATGACAATTAATAATGGTACTATATACAACCTTCACACTGAAGCAAGGTCTGTTGATGTCTTTTTTAGCGTGTTTGAGGGTTCAGTTTCAGGTGGCTTTATTTCCCGACATTGTGTGTGTAGCCAAAGTATCTTTTACTTCGTGATCATATCCCCTGTGCTAAATTGAATCAAGTAGTATGAGGGGTTATTCTGTGTTCCCAAGTTAACTCGTTTAATTGAGTAACTTTTTCTTAGCAGATATTTGTACTTTCTTAAATATTTTGTATACTCCGTTCACGTTACATTTTACATGTTTTTGCTAAAGATCATATTAGTAGAAGGTGATATTAATATGTTATCAATAGAGTCGAAAACATTTTGTCCAACTCAGATCTGCTCTCAAATATATGAATTGTTTCGAAGATGTTAAGGCCGAGTCTAAACGTGCAGGATGTTATGAAATGACTGAAATAGAACAATCACTGACAAAAGTAGACATATCTCACTGTACAAGTTTGACCATTAGACATTCTCCAGCAATACACAGTTTACCGTGAAGCACTTGCACACAGTGCTCCCCCCCTCACACAATCCTTCCCACTTTCTCTTCAGCGCCTCATTGCCTTTCCCCTAGTCAGTCCCATACATCATATCACTAACTGCTCATCTTTTTCTCTCACACAGTGCCGGAGATAGAGATCCGGGACCCCCGTGGGGCGGCTATCAGCGAGGCCTTCTACAGAGTGGACTCCACTGTTGGGCTACAGTGTGTGGTCACGCCCGCGCCGCCCACACGCCCAGTAAGATGGTCTCGCGCCCACCACCCACTCACCACCCAGCCCGAGAGGGGCATCAGGTAGGTGAGGGTGTATGTGGGTTAGGGATAGTGATGGGCATTCAGTAGATGGGGATATTGGTAGATTTTTTATTTTGGTTAAGGGGGAATAGAATAGGTTTGGGTTTGGATAGGAAGGAGGAGGAGGAAAGGAGGTGGTATCCTATAGAAGGGGTGCAGGTGGGGAAGGAATTTCATGGGTTTACTGTACGTAAACCGTACAGTAAACCCATGAAATTGCAAAACTTACTATTCAAATTGAAAAATGCTTTTGGAATACGAAGGAAGGACACCGAGACAGGGTGACAGAAGTAGGAACAGAAGGAGGAAGAGGAGAAGGAGAAATAAAATAAATAAAACCTAGGCAAAGGAGGATAGTACAGACAGAGACGAGTACACATTTATAATAACAAATGTCGGCATCTCTACCATAAGACTTCATCCAATATTGTGGCTATAAATACAAAGCCCATTAACCTTAACAACTCCACTCAACCGGTGTCATCGAGACGTCTTCAAAACCTGTCAACAATTAAGAACATAAAATGACACGAGTTATTAAAAAGGTAAAAAAATTAAATAAACGAAAATAAAATGCGATTTGTTTGAAAAACGTAGATTTTACTTGGAAAAATATTCGTTTTACGACAATAGCCAAGTCGATCTCTTAATCAGTGAGTCTGAGGGGAGAGGCGAAAGATAGAGGGGAGGGTGGGGGGAGATGGGAAAGGGGAAGGGGAGAATGGGAGAGGAAGGTGTTGGGGGGGGGGGAGGAGGCACAGGGAAGGGGA